CCATCGACCAAGTCGAGTGCACTGTACTTCGTACATCCCACGATGTTGTTCTGAAGAATATCTTTCTAGAAATCGGTGTCTGTACCGGAATGGTAGCAGCATTGAGCTTATTCTAAGCATGAACGATACGCCACTTACCGTTCGGCTTCCAACACAAAACGGTGGGCTCGATTGGGGAGATTTGCTCCCACGTACTATCCCTGCGTCGTGCCTCGCACGGAAAAAGGCGTCAATGACGTCGCACTGCTCCTTGGGTAGTGGCCATTGACGTGTTACGCAGTACTTGGTCACCGGAACCAGGTCGATCTCATGACGCCCACCTCCGTCCGGAGGTAGGACCGAAGGCGGGTCTTTGGAGACGACGTCTTGAAGTCCCTTTACCAAAGGATAGTACGGATCCAAGGGATGCCGTAGGATCGACGATCCACTTCGTGCGTTCCGCACTCTCTTGATGTCCTCCAAGACAGATCCATCCAGAAGAGATGACGAGTTTGTCTCCTCGTCCGGTCGTACAATGACCACTTCGGCCAAATCGCCTGCCTCCAAGGCATTGCCGGACTCTTCACGGGATATCTCGTCCAGCTCAAGGAGAGCGTCTACCGCAGGCATAGCCTTGAGGCGGACGTCGCCATCTTTCTCCCCCGTCATACCGTTGACGAGGGTGTATAACTGTGCAGCATCGTCTACAGTAGACACACCCTGGATGAGGGTCGACACCCGGCGTCTTGTAGCCAGCATACGGCGTCGCCGTCGCATCTGTACAGAGGTTCTATGTCTCGGTAAGACCAGGGTGAACACGCACTGCGCGTCTGATATCCTCACTTTCTGCTCATTTGGGGCTCTGATGTTATCTACAGCATCCGACGAAGAGCTGCTAACCCCGCAGTTTTCGTCCAGTGGATAACGTGCCACTCCACGCGCATCTGAAGGGCCACGCCAAAGGAGCCTCCGACTCTGTCCGACCACGCCATAAATGGCATGCAGCGACGGCTTTGCAACAAGAGTAGTGCTCAGTGGTTTCTGCGCCACTTCACGTTCATCACGGGAGCTTCGCCCTCGGTGCCTCGGTCCTTTA